CACTGGCGGTAGCCATTAAATAATTGTTATTGGCAGATGAGTTTCGCATGATGCTTGCCCTACTCCCTTCATAATCTTTGCAAATCTATTATGGCCGTACTATCTCGATTCCCAAGGCTCAGTTCAAGGTCTACAAACTTCCTTGCTGCCCTTGCTTCCACGGTGGAATATGCGTGGCCTGACCGGTTGCTAGTTATGTGGAGATTACATTATGCTCCCCTACTAATACCCCTTCATTACTACCCCCTCTCAAGGTTCATTGACATAAATTATCCTAAGTATCCCTAGAGGGGGAACCTTCGGGCGCGTAGAGTAGGGGAACCAATGATAACATGTTCACCAGCTGCAGGGTCAACGTTCAACTCGTCCAGCCTTTTCTGAGAATAATGGTCGGGTGCTGGCCTGGACCATGGCATCTTGCCTGCCCCTGCCACTGCGCTTAAAGAATTTGATGTCCCCGGCCCTGCCGGTCGGTACAAATAATGTCATTTGGCGCGTTCTGTGCCTGAGCACACGCATACTCCATCTCGTCCATTATCCTGAGTCTGTGGCATTGTCCCCCAGCCGCTGACATCATGGTTTAGGAAAGAACTTGCATTTAACCTACCACATGTGACCTGAGCAGGTATATTCGGAAATACCATTGCAGTCAACGATCCTAAATGTTTTACAGACCGTTGAGTATAGCCAGGGTTTTAGAAGGCTGGCCTGCTTGGGTAAAACTTAAATGAAGGTTATCAGAAGTGATCGCTACGCTTGATAAAGCCATTGATATAAGGCGGATCAAAACAATTTGAGGGCATACTCGATAAGGGACCCACAACTATCAGAAACACCCGTATACCGTATACCTCTGTTGCGTTTCACTTCTGCTCACCGTGCTTAAAAAAAAACAATTGTTCTTTGGCCATGGTGGCTGCCGTGACTTCTTATGACGCCTGATTCTGGAAGCTCGTAATTCTTGAAGCTCTGGCATGACAATGAACAGTGCACAGTCATGACAGTTATTCGTTGCGTTCCATGAGCATTAGGGTGTAAACCCTATAGACCCCCTAAGCCCTAAACCCTAAGCCCTAAACCCCTAAACTCGTAAACCCTAAACCCCTAAGCCCTAAACCCCTAAGCCCGTAAACCCCTAAGCCCTAAACCCCGGGGGAGCTGGGCAGGCAGGAATTGTTGCGCTTCGAGGAGCTGCAGGAAAGAGACGTCCTGACCTGGGCTGAAACCCAAACATGGGGGTTTCCTAAAAATATAGGGTTTAGGCTATAGGGTGTAGGATTTTTGCCGCTTGCGTGGCAGGGTGTAGGATTTAGGATTTAGGATTCCCACCTTTTCGATGGATTTAAAGGGGTTACATAGAGGTTGTACATGCCTTTCTAGGGTTTAGGGACTAGAGCTGGGGGTTTCTAGAATTGGGCGTGCTTTTTGTAATGTCCCCATAATAACGATGTTCTTTTGTGGAGTCCATATTAGCGTCCTGAGAAACTACCACATGCAGTTTGGATTGGCCTGAAATGCTGAAAGGATCAAATCCCTACAATATCTGTGTTTCTGGGGCCATGGCCGTTTGAAGAGAAGTACGCGACGTTTTCGGTCCAAACAATTGGCTTAAAGGTCTGCACAACACGCCTGGCCCCTGCAAGCACTTCCTTCTCCATCCCTTCCACATCAATCTTGATGAGCCTGATGTCATCCACTTGAGGAAGCCCCAGGAGCTCGACACCAGGAGAAGGCACCAGTCCCAGAGCTTCATCGAGGCTTAACACAGTAATGCGCTCTGGTGCAACATCCCAGTCGTAGAGCTGCATGACCTCTTCTGGCTTAGCATCTTGCTGCTGCTGCTGGAGCTTCATGCCGCCAGGGGAGGAGAAGAACTTGAGCTGAGGCGGACGTGCCTCAAAGCTGGCCCTTGATGTGCTTAGCCCAACTGGTGGAAGCCATACATTGCTGAGGCCGTTGATGGCCACGTTTGCCGCAACAACTTGGCGCAGCCAACGAAAGGGCTCAAAGGAAATGACCTTGCCGGCCACTCCGACGCGCTCAGCAAACGGGACCGTGTAGCAACCCAGATTGGCACCCACATCGACTACAGTGTCCCCTGCCTGAAGCAAGGACTGCATCTCATAAGACTGTAGCGGATTCATCGATCCATGCTGCTTCATCCAGTGTCCGATGTTGGTATCGTAGAAGGGCAAGAGAAACGCATGTGGAGCATGACCCTGCGTCAGTAGAATCTTGCAACCAGTACAACAAAGGCTGCTCCAACAAACATCCAGCACACCTAAACTTCAAAAGATCACTTATACTCAAAGTGCCGTGCTGATGCAACGGACATGCGCATAATCATGAAGATGCTGCTGACTGAGACTGAAATTGCTGAAAAATCCTACTCCTATGTAGCCGGTTACGCGGGAAGCTGCGCCTTGGTCTTCCGGTCCTCCCAGTTCTGAGACCCGATAGTGCCGTGGAGCTGCGCTGTGACGCCTGGCGAGCCACGTCAAATCGCTTCTGACTTGCCCTCCATTGTACAACCTACATAATTCGTATCTAATCCCTGCAGAATATGAATAATATAACCCCTATATAATTCCTATCTAATCCCTACAGAATATGTATAATCCCCATATCACTCCTATGTAACCCCTACAGAATATATGATCCCTACATAATTCCTATCTAATCCCTACAGAATTCCTATATAACCTTTCTATAGCCCCTATATAACCCTAAACCTAAACTCCTAGTCTCCCCCTTAATAACCCCTATATAATCCCCTATGTAACCTCCCTTTAAGGAGTTTAGACCCTAAACCCCAAACCCTGAACCCTAAATCCTAAACCCTAAACTCTAATTAAAGGAGGTTGTGTAATCCCCTATATAATCCCTTTTGAAAGAGCTTAGACTATAGCTCATACAACCCTTATGACATAACCCTAATAGAATCCCAATACAACCCCAATATAACCCCTAATATAATCCCTATACAACCCCTCTATAACTCCTAACATAACCCTAAGCCCTGAACCCTAGACCCCAAACCCTAAATCGTAAACCCTAAATCCTAAAACCCCCATAGACCTAAACCCTTTGGAGTGCCTGGCCGCTCTGCGGCTGCCAGCGCCGCGGCGGCAAGTGGCGAGGGGCTTCGAGGTGCGCGAGGCGCGGAAGCCAGCATCTCTGTCTCCACGTCCTTTTAGGGTTCAGGGTTTCAGGTTTGTTTTTTTTAACACCAGAAGACTTTTACGGCTTGAGGTTTAGGGTTTAGGCTTTCAATAAACCCTAAATAGTAGTTTCCACTGAATTTTCCGTTATCCCACTACAGCCCCCAATATAATCCTAATATTACACAAATGGGTTATAAGAACAATGTTTAGATTTTAGGGTTCAAGGTTCCAGCTTTAGGGTTTACTGGGTTGCTGCTGAGGAAGATTAAGTTCCCAACACAAGGAAATCTAGAACGTTAGATTCCTTGGGAGCCAACGTAACATTGCTTCACGCTTTCTGCCTTGACAGCTCAGGATTACTGAAGAAGACCAGTGCCATTTAGGGGAATTTGGCGTGCGCGTTCATGTTCATAAACCAAGGGACATTCCACGATCCAATCTTTTGAAACCCCCAAGTCTGGGCTCCCGTGGCGTGTGGCAAGCTGTAGCACGCGAATTTCGCACGCAAAAAGAACGAAAATGCTTGTAAGAACATCGCTTCCGAGGATTCAGGGCGACTCTGGCCAGGAACAATGTTGACAAATTCCGGTGCGCACCTGCATCGCATGCCACCAAAACATTCGGCCAGAAACGGCTGGCCACCAACAAGGATTTACATGCGTGCCCGGCTTGGACTGCCTGGGGCTTCCAAAGCAGAAGGGGCGTCTTTTGGAAGCCTGTGGGGGCTTTGGTGCTGAACCATGGTAGTTTGACTTACATATTGGGACTTCGACCGTGGCAGCATTGCCACTCTGGACAAAAGCGGAAATGTCTGGCATGACCCGCTCGGCGCCGTTCCGAGCACAGGCTGTGTCGGTGCAGCACTTTTCACTTATCTTCTCCACCTCTTTAAATGAAGGCATTAGTCATGCATGTCATGAGGACTAGGTGGAGTTGAGAGCTAGTCGATGTTCACAACAACGGGTCCAAATGTCCGGCGCCGTTCAGCATCACTGAGCAGCAGGCTTTCAGCTCTCAGGATCCTCCACATTGCGCGCGGTCACTTCGACAGACTTCACAAGAACGTGAGGTGAAGACTGCCCGTGAGCAGCACGAGTAGTTGTGCTCCAAGTTGATGCCGGTCGGTGGTCGGCATCTGGACCTCCAACGGAGCCTGCTTCTCGTCCATAGCGCTGACGCTCTCAAGAATGAAGCCAGTGTTGGCTCAGCCCAGGTAATCTGCCAAAACATACAACATGTTGGGCTTCTTTTGACTTCTTGGCCAGCGGGGCCGTCAGGTTGCGATGCAAGTTTGCTGGCAGCCTATGCCAACTGAAATCGTGAACTTGAGCACAAAAGCCTAGTCCCATCGCCAAATGAAATGTTCAACCCCTCACCGCTTTCGTGTACCATCTATGTTGCAAAGGAACAAATGTTGCATAATGCATAAATCCCCTCCAAAGGCTGCCCGCTGTGCTGGCAGCACTGATGGCTACTTGAGCTGACGAACAGAGAGGCTCAGGCCCATGAAATTTGCCTGGAGGAGTGGAGGCATACTATCATGATGTGAACACAACACCGCGTTTTGTCCACAGAACTGGCCTTGGGTAGGAGAATAGGTGGCTCCCGGAAGTTTGTCACCAAGAATGTCGGCCAGTGATGACCAACCACGGTCAAGTCCCGGGGCCCATCGGAATCCCAAACCAAGGATCCGCACCTGTGCAGCCAGGGAATAAGCTGGCATTGCGAAAAAAAGAAAGAAAGGGGAGAGAGAGAGAGAGAGAGAGAGAGGGTGATGATGATAATGATATTGTTGAAGGTCCGCACAACCGGGGCAAAGTCATCACAAGCAGAAAGTACAGCCATCAAGCGCTACATCAATGTCTCCACAACTGTTCAGCTAGAGCACGCGGCGTACTTCTGCATGATCGCCGGCTCGTGGAACGGCACGCTCTGATCCGCTCCTGACATGGAACTGCCATGCCAAGCACCCAGTAGGGAAGCCACGCAGAAAGCAACACTGCTGCCGGAGGTCCGTTCGCTTGCAGCAGGAACTCTTTGCAACCCTCCTTCGTGAGATTTGCCTGGCAAGCACTTTGGCTTTTTTCGTGGGCCGCACGAGGCTTCAATTTTGGATCAGGTATGGCAACGGCGCGATGCACTGCATCAAGGCTTGACAGCGACTCCTACCAGATACTCGAACCTCCTTTTGGGGTCACTTGGAGCAGAAGCAAACATGGATAAATCTTCAACTATTTCTCAAGAAAACGAAAATGCCTTGGTGTCCCCATCTAAGTCCCTCTAAAATCTCTTGCAACTCCTTGAAGAACACATGCAACACCTTTCATCTGAGGATCGCCGCGGAGTAGGATCCCCCTGCATGCCCTTCCTGTCATACGAACCCAAAAATGCCCACAGCCATGAGAAGCCGCTATATACTGCATGCTATGGCTATGAGTCGACATGGTTCATCTGCATGACCACTCATCATCCCTTACATATCCAAGACGGCATGCCCCCATATGAAAGTTGCCAAGAACTTGGTGAACAAAAAACAAGCTTGAGGTATTCCTTAGGAGGACCCCCCACCCTGTAATACTGGTAAAATCGGAATATAGTAGGACCCTAATATACTCCTTATTATCCCTTATAGTCACTATTACAGGGTGGGGGGTCCACCTAAGGTATTCCTTACAGGAGGGCCCAACTCGGAGTCTGAGGAACCCTTGACCCCTGAACCCCCTCAGCGCTCAAAAGAGACACCCACACCCCTCATCCAGGGTACCATGGGATGGGGGGGCGGGTGCATTTAGGGCTTCAGGGTGTACTTCAGCGTTTGTTTGGGATATACACTACCCCAAGCCCTTGAACTAAACCCTGAATCCCTGCCCTATATTATTTCCCTATCTAGCGCTATGTAACCCTAATATACTCTCTAGTCAAACCCCAATATAAATCCTACATCCCTAATATAATCCCTACGGTATATCTCCATCATTCTCCAACCCTAAGCCCTAAATCCTTGAGCCCTAAACCCCTAAACCCCAAATCCCTAAGTCCCCCCATGGTATATCTCCATCATTCTCCATCAAAGGCGCCAAGCTGACGTCATTCTCGCCGCCGTTCCAGCCCAACTCCTCCCTGCCTGGACAGCCCTAGATATATGACCCAGGTTTAGGGTTTAGGGAACTACTATAGGGGTTATTAAGGGGGATACTAGGAGTTTAGACTATAGCCCATATAGTCCCCCTTAAGTAGTTAGGGTTATATTGGAGTATTTCCCCCTATAAGGGAGAATCAAATGGACAAGAAATTGGCACATGAAATGGAAACTTGGATTATATAGGGGATTTATCGGGATTGGGGTTTCCCAAAGTTATGTGTACCTTTTGGGGTGTTATGTAGGGGTTATATAGGGATGAAATAGGGTTTAAGGTTTAGGGATTAGGGTTTCCAAAAATCAGGTGTACTTTTTGGGGTCCCCATATTATTTTGGGGTCTACATTGGGGTCCCCCTATTCTGGGAAACTACCATATTCCATAATTATAAATGCTTGCTTTCCCAAAATAATCTTGCTCGCAGAATATCAAAAAGTATGCATGTGTGTAGCGTATACATATATACAGATACATGTTTGAATACAGTCCCCCTTAAGTAGATAGAATGTGGCTTTGGGTATATTATAAAAGGATCCCCACATACCCCATATTCTATCTACTTAAGGGGGACTATATGCAAGAAACCAGCTCTTGGAGTGATTATGCCACGGGTGTCTTCATGGTGGGGGCTTGCAGTTATGGAGACGGATTGTGTGGTTACTTTTAAACCATTTGCCTGCATTGCTTTCGCATACGCAGGCAGGTGCAACCAATTCTGTAAAACTACCTTAAACCTAAAAATCCGAAACTTTAAATGTAAGCCCTAAACCCTTAAACCCTAAAGCCCTAAAACCCCAAAACCCTAAATCCTGAAACCCTTGCGCTCTAGGCAAGGCCTGGCAAGATCTCTGCGTGCCAGCCCTGCCGCTGATCCCAGCGGCGGGGTGCGCGGGAGATCAAGTAGCCTGGGTAGTTTCTTAGGGGGTAGGGTCTAGGGGTTTAGGGTTTCCCATTACTTTTAGGGAGAGTGGGCAAGAGAACGGATGCTACCATGTATAGTAGAATAGGGGATACAGACCCCAAAATTATACACTCTTCATTCTAAGGACCCACCAGAGTCATGCTCTTGGTTGGTGCGAATAAGATTCCACTCTGTAAATAAAATACAAATACGCAAAACGAGGATATAATCTTACTCTTACTGGGAATCATAGTAAACAGTATCCCCAGATAAGATACTACTCGCCAGAGCTTGCATGAATTCAGGGAGCCTTATAGATCTTATAGGACCCCTAAGGCATAATGGGGCATATTAAGGGCGAGCTGTTGCGACAGCAGATAGTGGAAGGCAGAATTTCACAGCAGTTCGACGAGCCACAGCCATCGCAGCCATCACCCAAAGGCGCGCACACCTCGCTGATCAAGGTCAAGCGTTGCAACCAGTATGAATCAGTATGAACGCATCCGATGCATGCCGAATGCCCAATGAAGAAGCACAGTAAGTATCGTAACTGCCGGAAACAAACTGTACAACCTGTAGCACTCTGTTGCGGGGTCATGCTGCTTCCACGAGCCTCCCAGGCTGCACAGGTTTCGTTTCGCCGGCAAAGTTCGCGACAGTCTTCAACCGCGTGAGGCTGGGGAGGTTGCAGTAGAAAAGCCTTGGAAAATGCGATGCGAGCTCCAGAGCATGCAACGGGATTGATTGTTGAGGGCAGGCAGCTGCAATGTCCGTGTAGTGAAAAGCTTGGTGCAAAGTCTCCGGATCAGTGCTCAGTTTTGTGAACGCTGGTGCAGGCGGCTGCGCGCCACCTGTTTGGAGCAGGCGAATCCACGGAACACGCAAACTGACAAGAAGTGCAGCTGTGTACTGGCTATGCGCAGGCTGCCAAGCTTCCAAATCCAGGGGCTCCAAGCGAGCCAGCGCCCAAGCCAGGAGCGGCATCCAGTGGAGTTCCACCACCTCTTGTGAATAGTGCTGGGGTGCAAAAGATCGTCTGATTGACATGCGAGGAGAGCCTCCAAGTGCAGAAGATCCAGCAAATCCAGGTACTAACCCAGGACTGGCACCCAAGCCACCGACCAGGCTTCCGCCTGTGCCAAAAGCACCGCCCAAGCCCCCACCAGCTATGGCACCAGCACATAAGCCGCCAGTGACCCCGCCACAACCATCTAATCCACCACCAATTAGGCCACCGCCACCCAGCCCTCCACCCAAACCAGTGCCACCTAAGCCACTGCCAGGCAGCCCACCACCTAAGCCCGTGCCCAGCCCGCTGTTCAGGCTGCCGCCGCTCGCGCTTCCACCACCAAGACCACCAAGACCACCGCCACCTAGGCCGAAGCCTCCAAAACCACTGCCGCCAAGGCCGCCAGCAGTACCGTCACCAGCCCCACCACCACCACTACCAAAGCTACCACCTGCAAGGCCACCACCAAGACTAGCGCCTCCAAGTGCACCGCTGCCCAGGCCACTAGCACCCAGGCCACCGCCTAAACCACTTCCACCCAATCCAGCGCCAGCACCGCCCATCAGGCTATCAGCGGCGCCGGGCGCGGGTGGCAAACCAAAACCTCTCTGGTCTGCTGAGCCCGCCCCACCCGTGGCTGGTGGCGAAGCCATCGCGTTGAAGCCAAGACCAAAGCCGCCAGGCAAGCCGCCTGAGTTTTGCTGGCCGCCAAGGCCCAGACCTGGTGCAATGGAGCAAGCCCAATGCAAAGCATACAGAGCATTACAAAGCCAGGTCGAAGCCTCCTGTGCCAAGAGGTAGCTGCGCCGAACATGTTGTCCAGGTCCTTGATTTGATCTAGAATTCTTTTCAGACACTGGTACACTGTTGCATGAAGCCGTGCGATATTTGCTGATATCATGTGTTTGATGCGCTTCGACAAACTGATACATGCGCCGCGGTTTGCTCTCGCAGCCCCGATTGCTGTCATCATCTCCGTCTTGCGAACAGAACAGAACAAAGTAGCGTAGATCGCGAAAAGCCATCCACAGGCCCCCCCAACAGCACCAGAGAAGCCTCCCAAAATGTCCAAGAGCACTTGAGTATACTTGAGTCACCGGAAACAACAGCAAGAGGAGCCTCCACGTGAGAATGCTCGATGCAGGAGTCGTGGAACTTGCTGCGGCCACACTACCAAATTAGACTAATCCATTCCCTGAACCCTCAGGTCAAGAAAGCCTTCAGGATTCAGTGTTGACATGTTGACAGCCCTTCTGCTCCGAGCTAAGAGTCAGCAGCATCAGGCCGGCCCATCCTCAAGGCAGGTGCATTCTGAACGCAAGTAAACACAAATACAAGGCAGTCCAGTCTACCACAGCTGAAAATCACCAGCAGTGATTACTCTGAGGCGCATGAACGCATGATCAATTCCTCTCAACTAGAGGGCAGCACTTTGCAACCACAATCATATACAATGACCATTACCAAGCAATGCGGCCAAAGAGACGAAGCCTTGCCAGCATGTTCTGCCAATGCCAGGTTCCGGCAGCTTAGGATCCCCCGTGCGTCATTGTACACATGGAATCTGACAGTGTTGTTCCTAGTGGTCCTGCATCTAGATTGGCTGCATATACCTTGTGGAAACAATAAGGAAACTTGTTTGGTCAAGATCTGCGCGAAGTCAGCAATTAATTTCCCATCAAAAAGAAGGCAAGGCCCTCTTGCGACCTAGCTGCTTCCAGTTTGTCTGCTTCTGAAGCCGCGCGTGGAATCTTTTGAATATGTTTCTCAGCATTTGAGAAGCTCGGGATTCTTGAGATAGCTCTTGGTGCAAACAGCTTCTTCCAAAACACGCTCTTTCCAAGGCAAGGCAGGCCCTCATAGAACGCGGCTTGTTGCCTTGAGCCATAACACCCAACACGGCTGAAGTCTGAGGAGCGTTCCATTTGCATATGTACTTCAACGCCCAGAGAATGGTAGGAGGCAGCTTGGGGCTTGCAACATCCCTCACCTCACAATTTGAATCAAGATGGACATCGCCTTAGGCTCAAACGCAGTCGCGTGCTCTTGGTTGTTGCTCAGGGCACTCAGTTTGCTGGAGCCACTCCGATTCAAATGTATCTGTCTGCTGTTGGGTGATGCATAGACTGCATGTTATGGTATATTAAAGTATACCATCGTTTTTTATAATATACCATGGTATATACTACAGTAAACTATAGTATATCACTATAGTATTGCCTGCAGCTGAAGTCAGCTCGGTCCCATGCTGCTTGCGGTTGTCGACTTGACGGCATGCTCTGCAAGGTGTAGTAGGCGACTGCCAGATGCTGTTTTTTCATGAGCTAGCTCTCAAACAATGAGTCAATTCGTTGACTGGCTTGAAATGGGTGCGTCTCATATTTCATCTGCTCCGATGGTACGTTTGAGATTTTGCAGTACAAGCTCCCCAGGATTCTAGAAGAGGTGGTGTGCTGACGATGCAAACAGCCCTCTTTTGGCAGGTGCGTGCGTCCAACATGGGCCACTGTTGCGGAATGCAGCTCGTTGGATAGCTGCCTTGGGCTGTGGCGTCCAAGACGGCTAAGCAATAAGATGCGTTCAGTTTGTACAGCTGGGCACGTGGGGGCGCATTTCGCCTCATCCTTGGACTCCTTGCAGTCCCTGATTCAAATGAAGCGTGACACCGCTTCGGTGATGGCGGACACTGTGCCCTCCTCCAGTTTCTGTGAGCACTTCAGCCCATGGTCGCCTCCATCCACTTTCACCTTATCTTCAGCACCGCCAGCAAACTCTCGTGCCAAGCAGGTTTGCTGGTAGGGTTTGCGGGCGTGATAGGCAAAATTCCCAGGAATTTAAGGGAAGCCGTCGCAAGTGGCGCTGCCTTGTTGCACGCTGAGGCCAGCTCAACACCTTGCCTCGACCAAGACCAACCCCAAACCCACCCCAGTCCCGAGCCTGCACCGTACTCCAGAATCACTCTGGAGTAGTAGCGGTAGCGCGTAGGCTCATATGCGTCAGGCATTCTTGACATCTTGTGCCTTTTCCCCGCTATAGCAGTGATAAGATCATTGGCAGCACTTCCAAAAAGTGATCCACTACCGTAGACTGCACTTCAAAGAAGAACCGTTGTGGCGGCAACGGCATCTGCAACATTGAGAGTTCATCGTCCCCCACCCGATGCACAAGCAACTGCTGCCAAGAGGCCAGGCTGCGTTTTCTGCATCGAATCTTCTTCAGCGTCTGCTCAAAGAGCTTGAAGTCGCCAGCAAATGGGTCTTTGGTGCCAGAGACGAACAGCACCTGCGGCGGGCATTCGGTTCGCTGTCTAGTGAAAGAAGAGCTTCTGGTCTTGAGATTTACTTCCTGTCCTCACCTGGGTGCTGCAAAGACTTCTTGAATCCAATGTGCCTGCACAGCGACACCGACATCAGAGCACACGTGCACGTATGTTCTGAGAATTGACACTTCGCACACGATTAGGGATGAAAGATGCAAAAGAAGCGTGGTTGCCTATGATGAGGATTGTAGTACTTGTATCTCTACTAGTACAATGCTTGCTACTGGTACTACTACTACTACTACTACTACAGACAGTTACTACTATACCAAGACTACTAAAGTATGTTGGGTCAATATGTCATGCAAAATCAAAGCTTTGACTCACCTTGCAGTCCACGGGCAACTCCAGGAGCTTTTTCTCACCTCAACTTAGAGACAGCATCAACAATAGCTAAGAGTCCTAGTCATAGCAGATAATAAGAATAGTTCAGTAACAGTAGAAGGAATACTCATTGTAAAAGTAGAATAGTAATAGTAGTAGTAATAGTTGCTAAGGGAAAAGGACTACGGACGAAAACGGAAGCTTCTCTCTTCACGTAGCATGTAAGGTTTGTCCTTTGTCCACTGCTGGCAAAGCTTTTGGCTAGAAGGTATCCATGCCCCCAAGCCATCATGGGCGCACGTCATTGCAGCCCCAGTGCAGTCCTAGATACGGTGCTGCGTTGGGTGGACCAGCGGATACCCAAACCTGAGTGGCAGTTTGACGGGATACCGCTGTGGGGAATCGTCAGGCAGGGACACAGGGCATCACAGGGCAAGGGCAAAGATCCTGAAAGCGTTTCCCAGAAACTTTTTGTGAAACCAGCTGCTCACTTGAGCGGTGGTTTTTATTCTATCTAAATTCTATTACAGAAACTACGCCTTCTGCGGAGGCCTTCCGCGTACCTTCCGCGAGTAGCACCTGTATTCTTTTTTGCTTCCGCCTTCCGCGGCTGCTTCCGCGAAGGTTTTTCGGCTGGATTTCGGGATTTGCTTCCGCGAAAGGTCTTCGAAGACTACGGCATAGGTTCCTGCGCATGCTCTTTTCGATTGACTCCTTTGTCTTGGGTAGGTAGAGAAGCAAGT